TTCAGGGTCATGGACGCGCACTCCTGAGAAATTCTATACTAGAACGAGACGGCTGTCCAGTGCGTCCAGGTTCTCAGTGATGGTCTAGCTAAGATCAGTTTGTTACATTAACTGTGTAAATCATGATCCTGAAAAAGGAATTTTTCTGTTGAAGGAATCTGGTTCACTCCAAAAACAAAACAAATGACAATTAACTACTATCAAATTACTTTAAACTAAGTGTAAAATCTTACAAATATGGTTGGTTTAATAATTATCAATTTGTAAACAGATTTATTTGTCGCTTTAGAGTAACAAGTATGTTTTATTCATTTCATTTTTCTTTTACAAAGAATCGATTAAACTCACTATCTGTGTGTTTTTTTCAATCTTTTTTTCTTATGTTATGTCACAATGTAAGCTTAACAAAACACTGTGATTCATATTTATACATTATCCATTTGTGTATAATATACATGTAAACATCGCACGCTAATTGTATTTTAAACAGCATGAGATTGAATAACCAGAAATTTGATTACTTTCACACCATTACTTACTAAAAACAAATGTTGAATTGTGTCAATTTCCATTCATATTATCATTTTTACGCGGTTTTTAATTTATTTTTACTAATAACTATCGGTATAGTAATGTACATCATAATCATAACTGTGAATTTGAAATAATATAACGAAGTAAAACTAATTTCATTAAGTCTAGGCCTTCAACAAGACAATCAAGAAATCGAGCTCGGTGTACGCAGTTTTATATTGTATTATTATGATGGGTTTAAACACAACAGAAAATATTTAACTGTACAGCAAGTGTATTGGTTATTCACCACAATAACAATATATTTATTTAGATTGTTCTACTTGATTATTATATAAGTGAAGGCTTATTTTTTCATCACAAATAAAAAAAACACCGAGAATCACTCTTGATTCAATACGAAAGTGTAGTGATTTACTTTCAACTAGTCAAATCACTCTCACTTCAGCTTATGAATCTTGTCAGTATTCGATTTCGGTCCACTGTGTCACTAATAATCCTCTGGTTAAGTTTCCAACTAGAGATTGTACTAAACAGTATACAACTGTACATACTTGTATTCACAATACCGGTCATAGTGGCAAGCAAATCCCTCTCTCATATACACACTCTAATTTAAACATTTTTAATAAGTTTGTTCAATAAAAATGCGATGGAATTTCATATTTAGTTTCTGCCTTATCGTATTTCACTCAGTTTAAAATATAAAGCTTATGAATATATTGGTGTAGTTAGACCTGTAAATCACTGAAGTCTAATAATAATGGTATTATTATCACTATTATTATCGTTATTATTATGTCAACGTTGGTACAAAGAGGGATCAAAATAAATATGCATTTATATAGTAGTTATTATTTAATTTGTGTGTGGTACGAGATGCTGCTCATGTGTCTAAACCGAGACAGATGGTTTTCTTAGAAAACTACTTCCCAAACCTTTGACTTTGAGATTAAATCCACTAGGCAGGGGAGCAACGTTCGAAAATACGATCCCGTGGTAGCTGGTGATCAAGAACAGATTCATACGCCATTTGTTCCTTCAGAATCCTAGAGCCCACGTTCACCATTGGTTTGGTCTCAGAGTTTTCCAACTTTCGTAGGCGGATCCTCCGTACCCACCGACCTGCCATAGGTGCTGAACATTCACTCCTCGTCCTTTTAATTTTGTAAACAACATCCTTGTCTTGAGAAAGAAGTTTTGAATAAAATGAAGTGGTTTCGATGGAAAATTCAAAGACCAAGTACCATTAAAAATCAGGAATGATGGAAGAAATATTCGTTCACTTTAAAATACATCACAATTTTGCGTAAAACCTATTTATAAGAACGATGAAATCGATGAAACTAAAGAGTTTATCATGCTTTTCAGTTTCCTATCTGAAATTTATACATGAAGTAATCTACGCATGATAGTTTCCGATAAGTCAACTAAATGAAATAAGATTGGTCGATATGACAATAGAAATCTTGTGCACATTCCATGAGCTAATCATCAGTCATGCAATGTTTAAGCATTGTAACCTATGATATTTCCGAGTTATTCGAAAATAACTTTTATAAATTGATATGAGTAACAAATTTTCAGAAAATCAGAATCGAAATCCATCAACTTCAATTTAGTGAATACTATTCTGTTTTCAGTAGTATATTAAATGATATTGGTTTTGCAAAAAATAACTAATTTTAAACAAATCATATATACTGAATCGAAAATTTAGTAAGTCTTCACTATTTGATTCATAATTGTACAGTTAGATGTAAATAAAAATAATCCTTTTGTTAAAATATAATTGTCATATTATTGAAACACTTTTATACGCGATAAAAATGTAGAATGACTCTCCCAATGCCAGAGTTACGTTTAGTCTGTGGACATATTGGTATTTATTTTATCGTTGCTAGACTTACTCACATAGATGTTTCTGGAAAATGTTTTTGTGTATTTGAGAGTTGGTGAAGGATTAAAATCGACTGATCACTAAAATACGTTTCCGCCTTACGACCGTAAAAGGAATCAACATCATTATCTTAAGGCATCTTAGCCAACATAAATAAATTTAAGTCACAGAGCCAAAATCTAATGACTCGCAGTCCCTTCTGTCTTGTTAATCATATTTCGTTTGATTTAATTCCATGAAATGCTCTCATGTATTAATTATTGTTTCTTTTCCCGTCTACCTTTCAGATATCAGTTCTTCTTACAAATACGTAAAGATATTTTAGACGGTCGTCTTCCTGTTCCCAAATCAATCGCCACCCAACTAGCTGGATTAGCCTTGCAATGTAAGTAATTTGTAACTCTATTATTGATTTCATCACAGATACATTTAACAGAGAGATACGTCTTATTTTATATATTGTGAGAATAGTTGATGAAAGATATTTGTATCTATACTGTCATATTCACAGCGCTTATTCACTTACACTCACATAAATATACAGTTGATGATTTTCTATCATTTGGCAGTTTAATGGTCGCGCATTAATTGTTAAAGATATATTTAGTCAAGTTATTTAGGTTGATGCGAGTTTTAATGTCAGGATCCAGGAATTGTGTAATCACAAAACAAGCTATAATTGATCAAAACTAATAGATTACAACTAACCAGTTCACGTTCATCTGTTTTCTCATAACAAATGTATGTGTCTTTATAGTTATTCAGAGACACAGGGCTTTTTTCTTTTGGTAAAATCTCATGTTCATATTTTTACTGAATAGTTTGTACGTGATTTTAATACAAACTGGATAATCAATGAAAGGTAGTGTTTTATTGAATATCTACACTGTGTTTAACTTCTTACGTTTATAATGGAAAGTCTTACATTGTAAAAAGAAAATGACTTTTACTTTAAAGTGCTTTTCGTAAAAGTTCGAAGATAATTTTTTTTCGATAGATGAATATTTTGTCTAGAAAAACTCATCACAGTCTAATTCCATTGAATATTCATTTTGATTTTTCTCAAGGCTCTTCTCAACAGTTCTCATTTCTAATCTTTTTTGAAATTATTTTCATGGCATTTTTTATGTGTAGTTCATTCCAAGTTATTTAAAAATAATTCTATGTATTCAAAACAAAACTTTTTTAATCGATAAATTCACTTGGAGATTATTCTAAAGTGTTTTAATTAAAGTGTAATATTGGTAAGTGAATTCAATAGAGATTTTCGAATGAGTTTAAATGTTTTTTTCAAACAGATTCAAGATAGTGAATAAATTGGTTTGTAACTAAGTTAGCATGATGACAGAGAATACAGAATTCATATTGTTTTCAGAATTGAGCACTTTAATTGTATTTGATTGTAATGTAGTTTGATGATTCTAATTAAAATCTTGTGCAGGTAATTTCGTTTTTGATTTGAGTAAGTTGACTACAATTATTTTGGAAGACTTATCAATCCTAGTGGTTGATATCTGACTAAATTTCAGCACGGATTTAGAGCGTTAGGTTGAATTTTTCCAACTTACGTCACTTGTGGTGTTGGTAAGATGTCTATCCCTCAACTAGAGGACATGTTTACTCCATAGAAATTTGTTTGATACTACTTTATGTCTGTGAAACATGGACTTTTAAAGCAGATAACTTGATTAGGTTGCAGGTGTTTGATAATTAGTGTCTTCGAAGCATTTCTCGCGTTTTGTGGATCTATTGATTGATAAATATTGAGGCTGGGCATAGAATAATTGGTGAAAATGGCAAATCCGTTAGAGAAGTAGTGAACATTCATAGACTGAGGTGGTTAGGACATATTTTATGTACGTTAAATGAATAACTACTAGGTTGGGTGATGTTTACCGATATAAGAGTAGGTTCGAAGAAAGCTGGGATTGGCAAAATCAATCCGTGATATTAGTCAATGAAATAAATAACTGTTGGTTCGTGCCATGCTGATAAATGCTACTACCTGGTTAGGAAATACTCGATAATGTTGATCAGTTGCTGGAGACTTTAAGTAATATGGCCCAGCACCGGACACTGATAAAGATGCAGTCATTCTTTATCTCCCTCTCGATTTTTAATTCCATTATTCCTTGATGCACGATTTCCCACTTTCTTTTCTACCCATACTCTAAATTTTCAGTCTTTCTCAACATCTTTCCTGCTCTATCATATTGATTACTTAATTATTAGCTTTTTTGAATTTGTTTCGTTGTGCAAATACGGTATGGAAACTTGGGATTACACCTATATACCAGGTTCTAAGCTGATTATTGTTACTGACGACGAATTCCGACTGACAGCGGCTTTAGTTCCAGAGTTTCATACTCGTTATTAAAAAAGTCAAAATATTGGTTCACTAGAAGTTGTCTTTGTATTTCCGACTTAAACCAAAGTTATCGTACTTACAACATTCTACATACCACACAATTAGTGAATCAGGACTTCTGTAGATATACTGATAGTAGGATATTAAATTTTGCATCAGTTTTGTTGCCAAAACTGTTTTTCATTTTTAAAAATATTTTTTTAATCTCACTACCTACAGCTGAATTAGGTGACTACACTGCTGAAGAATGTCGACCGGGTTATGTGAACCATTTCCGTTTTGTACAAAACCAAAATGCCGACTTTGAAGCACAAGCATCTGAATGGCATCGTAAATCAAGGTAAAACAGTTAGAGGTCATATATATATATATATATATATATATATATATATATATATATATAAGTTCTCACAATTTGGGCGTTGGTTCCATGTTAAGTGTAGTAAAAAGATCAATAATACTTTAAAAAATGAATACACCCATTAAGGAAACCAAAGAATATTTAACCTGATAATACTCTTTTTTGGTTAAGATATTAAGTCCCATTCGATAATAGGAGTAGTAATTCGAATCGCATACTGAATGCTTCATTTCCCCGTTGATCCAGTTTAACTACATCACCTTTAAACAATAAAGAGCTGTTTAATTAATTATCAGTAGTTTCTTAACACCCTTTCGAGAATTTGTTTGGTGTTTATATTAAGGCCAACTAGGTAGTTATCTCAAATATTGTTTCGTAAGATGAGATATCTTCTTAGCATATTCATTCCTTGTTGTTTCTGTTTGAATAAATGTGAATTTTACTGATCATACTGTGATGGCTAAATACTTTCAATGATATTACCGTAAGGATCGTTCAGATATTTATTGTCTATCCTATTGTAGTACCATAATTTTTTTGTATAGATAAAATATAAATGAGCTAATGAAGTCAGGGATTAATCTCGATGAGAAATACATCAAACCAATTGTTTAATAACTTGGAATGTCTTACTAATTGGATATCGTAAATTCACGTCAGCTAAATAAACATTGATAATCAAGGAGCTATTACATAGTTATTTTGTTCTACTTTTGGAACCATCAACAGTAGACGTACGTTGCCCTTCCTTCATAAAAGATGAAACGCATGTCCTCTAGGTTTTTCTAGGAGTATGACCGTTTTTTGATTTACCGACGGCATGTCTTGAACTGGTTTTCATTCTGTTTTTTTTAATTACTACCACAGTTGGTAAATATATGGTTTGTGAACTGCGGGCATGTATGTTTAAAACCCACCTAATCTTTTGAAGCCTGTGTTTCTTGAAAACAACACAGATAGGCTTATTACCTTTACTTTGCTACAAAATACGATTTTAAACCTGCACATTACTTACATAGTGTAACCATTGGATATTAACACACATATGGGAATAACGATAATCGAACATGGAGAATTACTGAACATTTCCCAATCTAAGAGGCTAAATTTTTCAAACATATGGTGGAGCCGTTCATACCGAAGCTAAGTACAATCAATCCTTTAAAGCCGAATAAATTTGCGCACGATAATCCACATTAGTTTAAGTCACTCAAGCTTCTACTACACATAGATTGATTTCATCTGTCATCCTCTCAACTTCAGTGTTTCATATTAATCATAACCAATTTATCGAAGTTCCTCTTTTTTTAAACAGTAAAATCTACATTATTATAACCAAGTCTTTCCACTAACTTTCTTAGTAATAAAAATCGTTTATATGAGATATCACATCACATGAACTACATTATGATCACTAGAAGATGTATTAGTAGTAAAATAATGAATTACTTAATTTTTTTGAATTTTTCTGAAGATTATGGTAAATTTTCACTAAATTTTGTAAACGATTCTGTATATTTTACTTAGAACAATCCATATAATTGATTTATTCTATCAGAACACTACATTCAAAATAAAATGTGATCATGAGATCATCTGAGATTGTTGTTGTATGTATGTGTATTGATGAAACCTCTGAAACATAAATACCTATACATCATACATCATAGATATAATTGTACATATGACTATGTTAATTGAATTGGTTTCGTAATAATTCTGCTCTAAACTCATATTTTTATTTATTTATACATATGCTGCATTACTATAGTGAATTTGTCTACAATACAAAATCTTTCTTGTCTGTTATCATCAACGTAATAGTGGTTTTGTTATGGATTGACATCATCTGTAGAATCATGAAAACTAGAGTCCATTGGACACTTGTTTTGTTCTAGTATGGGACCTAGCTGTCTAATATTTTCTAGTTCCACTGAAACCACTTGTAAGATTAATCTTTGACATAAACTACTTTCAATTAAAACTATGTTTGTATTTGTATTAGTTTATTTAGATATCACCCTTATGAATAGTATATTATATTACCTTCTTTTGACTTGTACGCATATGTTTATTTGGAAGTAAATTCAATTATCATTGGCAACAATAACAAAAAGTGATAATAATAGACCTTATGCACACCCATAAATAAAATGTTTACTTCCAACAACATGAACCAGATAGATAATTTTGGGCGTCTTCCTTAATATATATATATATATATATATATATATATATATATATATATATATATATATATATATATATATATATATGAACCATAGTAAATATGTATTATTTTTAAAATTGTTTTGCTTTCATTGTTAACAATGATGTTATTAGTAGTAATAATAGTAGTATGAGTGAAAATAATCGATAACCTGATATATTTCTACCCTTTTTTTCGAGGATTCCTTTTTTTTTTGATTGTATTCATTGTATGTTTTATATTTTGTGAGGTGAATAAGTTTTATTGTTGTTTAATTTGTTTTCATATAGAATGATTTAAAAATTACTGAATTTATTTTTCTAAGGTCAACTAATGTCATAAAATTTATATCATACATACATATTGATTGATTGGATAAATAGATGTGAAATTTGGATACGAAGAAATGTGTTACATAAGTATTCTGATATACTGTTAAATATTACGTTCAAATCGATGTCATATAAATTTATACAAAATTCTATAACCAACATTTCAATGCAAAAAAAAGATTCAGCTGATTTTGTAATTTGCAAATAAAAAGAGGTTTATCACGCTTCTAAAATGCTGAATTAACTAATAATGCTAATCATAGTTATTATTATCCTTTATCCATTGAATCCACTATAACTCGAGAAAAATCGATTGGAGATGATCAAGTTAATTAATAAAACGCAAAACGGTTCTCATGTTAAAATAATATAAGTACCGAAGTGTATTAACTACAACGAATAGTAGTCATATATTTACCTCATGATGTATACAACAATGCTCCACTAGTTACGGCCTCTCACCAGAACTGTTTACTAAATCACTGTGATTTTTGTTCTCATAATTATGAGAAGGAATGTCACTAAATGTTAATACTGATATGTTGCAAATGAAACCCAATAAATACTTTAAGAAACTCGTCTTGTCACTCAAACAGTACTTTGTATGTAAGAAATATCGTTATTTGTAGAGACAATTTGTTGGTTGTAAACTAGATTCCTAGGTTTGTAACACCATAGTTTCAAATTCCTTTCTGCATTTGACTAATAAACAAATTAATAATCAGATATGTATAAATGAAATAAAATTTAACAGTAGATACTTAACGAAAAAAAATCAGATTTTGTCTGTGTTTATTTTTTTCCAGTTGCCAGATGTTAAATGATTATTTCGTAAAGAGCATGTGTTGTCTTCCAACTAATTATATCCCTTTTTTTGAAAAAAATAACAAACTTATCATGTTGAAGTATTGTTAATTTCTGTCTCGCAGTAATATACTTTGTTGACATAATCTATTTTTATATATCAAAGTAATATGTTTATATAAGTGTCGAATAGTAAAGCTGAAGTATACTGCCGAACCAACTAAGAAAGAAGAACCAACTTCAAGATCACGGGGCACTTATGACCAAGATGTTGATTATTATGCTTAGACTTACAAGAATAACAATAACTTGTGAATAGTAGAATTAAATGATTACGAATGAGTTTAGAGGAATATAAGTTATCTTGTATAAAACTATATTTTGTTGAAATTTCAAATGATATAAAGACAATATATTGTTTGTAAATACTTTGATTTTCCACTATAGTCCATACACTCATATTTTCTACTTTCCAAATAACTAAAATAGTTCAAAATCTGAAGATCGTTCAACAGTGGACTTAAATCTGTATCGTCGTGTGTTTGATTCTGTTTTCTATGGAATATTTTATTAGTCAACCAATTTATAACTGTACATGATATTTATCTTAAACATTCATTGGCGTTTTGCATTTGTAAATTTTTGAGAGAATGAACAATATCGCTTATTTTCATTAGCTAATTCCAATTAAATTCAATTAGATTGATACTGCGTTAGTTACTCAATTCAAACTGTGTTTATTTTCTAGTTAAACATCAACCATTACACAAATGAAATGTAATTGCTGTTTAAGTAGTCTATTCATTAATTGAAAAATACCTTCTTGTTTTATTCATTTACTGGATCAAGCTAATGGTTAAAAACAGTTTATGTATTTTAAGTGAATAAGATATTAGCATACAATATAAATGAAAACTTGACATCTGCCTTCTCTTTAATTCAATTAGTTTGCTAGCATAATATATTTAACATTTTAAGAAATATAGATTAGCATAAGCAGTACTGAATGGTGTTTAACATTGGAATACAGGACACACGCATTGTCCTTTTTAGTGCTCGTCAGCTGGATATGCCTACACCCGAAATTCCAAGTACTCTACGTGACTCAATTCTAGCACGGTTCGCTTCAAATCTCAGTTCGTTGTCCACTTAGCTATCGCGTCCAAATAACCACGGGCTTGTGTAACGGGGTGAATTTTAATTCGCTTGTATTGGTTGTTTAAATCTTTCCACCAATCTTCAAGGCTTCAGTTGATCAATCTCTTTTAACATATAGGCATCTTATGTTGATTGTCTTTTTACTGGCAGTAAGTCACAAGCATGCCGACCACCATTTAACTTTACTTATAATGCTTGTGACCTAATTATAATGTTGAGGCAATTTGTACTGGATGCAGATATGCCAAAAAGAGACATGAATTGCAGTCCTAAACATCAGTGAGGAAATCCAAACAATTCATATAAATAAATAACTCGGTAAAATGTACAAAAATATTTTTTGGTTTCTTGGATTGGTGTTTAAAATATTCGTGTTTCAATCACGAAGCCGCAGGTTTGAAGTTCACTCCACCTACTTTGGTTTAGGCTACGAAATAGTATCATGAATGGTCACTTTTAAAGTAAAGTTCGAAGTCATGTACCTAGTACTTGGATTAAGATAAAAATTTACCACTTGATAATAACTTTCAACCACAATTTATCACTATATAAAACTGAATATATTACGAATGATATTACCTTTATCTAGAACTTAAATCGCCACGATGTATATCATGGATTGACTTTAATTAGACGGTGGTCTGAAGCATAAGTATTTGCTTGCAGACCTGACGATCCCAGGTTCGATCCTTCTTGTGTTATGAGTGTTCAGTGCTGAGAAGTTCCATTCTAGGACGAAATAGATGTCCAGTCCTTTCTGGTTTCCAATCATCGTCTATTCAAAGTCAACCACTGACACAGAACTCTAAATTCAAGAATCCCCGCAATAATTTGTATAAAAGCAAATGAGTTTAACAATTCACTAATGAACTAGACCACATTTAGTGTATAGATGATATACTATGGACATGGTTTTGACTAGATAGATATCACGATTATTTTTTGAGCTTTCAAACATACTGAAAATTTTGCGATTCGCTGTGAAAAAACTACATATTTTGATAGCCTGCTATACTTCATAGTCAAGCGTAATGTAATGTTCCCAACTTTTGTTGATCAGATACATTGTCCAACATTCAAATAACTGAACATACGTTTTGTAGATTGTTCCTTCTACTTCTTAGAATTACCTATATTTCTCCAAAAAGAACATTAGAAATATTATACAACAATTGTACATTCACTTTTAATCGTAACTTTTTAACATTCAACTTTTCACATGTGGTATAACTAACTGAAATTGTAGTTGGTTGTGTGTATCTGTAATCATTACAATTTTATTCTATTGAAAATTACGTTATTTATGCTTGTTTCTAACAGTAGTTTTTAAAAAATATCAAAAATTAGTATAATTCCAATGTAATTTCCATTATCATGAACTTACATCAGTTGGATGATTATGAAATTATATCACAAATTGATTAGAGTTATTTATATTGACCGCTAGGTCCCGCCTCATTGATCATAGTGAGTAGTTTGAATCACTTACACAGTATCCGTGAGATTTAAACAATTGTTCAATGTCTTCTGTCCTTTTTTGATAGTCCTAGTGTTTACATCATTTCTAATAATTTCACAAAATTATTTTTACTGAAAATAATGTAGATATCATTTTTTTCACGTTATTTGAGATCACTTGTCATATATACGTGCATAAATACAATATGAAATCAATACTGAAAAGCGTTATAAAATACATTTTTTTAAAATAGAACCAAGAAATGATAATTGATAAAAGATATCTGTTGTAGACAATATTAATTTTCTCAATTTAACAGAAATGTGAACTGATGAACAGTGGAAATAGTTACAATGAAACACTATTATAAATTATAGTACAATAGATAATTGTTTAACATAGTTTCATTCTATTTAAAGCAATAATTCATAATTTGTCTGGATATTTGACCTAATTCAACAGTAATTTATCAAAAAGAAAACTTTCTCAACCATTTATTTTGTCTTACATTATTGTTGTGACGTGCGTTATCCGAAATCTGATACTGATACATGGTATGCTATGCGCTAATCCTCCAACTGACTACCTGAGTGAAAACACAAGCGTGAATGATGAAGTGTATTGGACTTCCGAATAAAATGTACAAATACTCAATCATATATATATATATATATACCACTCTCCATATCAATTGCAAAACAGACTTTTATTTACTGTTTATTGAATAGAATTTTTGTAGCTGACTGAAATTTGTTTAAGAAACACTGAAAACATGAAAATTGATGAATAACCAGTTTATCTTAGTATGATACTCTTTATCAATTCTCATTATATGCTAAGACATTTCAAATTCGTAAATCAGCTTTATATTATTAAGATTATGGAGTTGAAATTCTAATGATCAACATCGCGAACTCATGCCTATACATGATATAACACAATCGCTACTCTGTAGATCACGGTTACACTACCGATATCATTCATTAAAACTTTACCAAATCTAGCACAGAACTGATTGCAGCGCTCATTACTTTTAAAAGGTACTTCATTTGATATTTCATGTGCTTACTACTGACTAGCGTCAAGAGGTAATTCTATGAGTTTTAGTGAAAAGCCGTGATCAGTGGAGCTAATCCGTGTTGAGTATGAGGCAGTTACCTACCACGTGAAGCGTTCGAGCTCTGGACCGAGTATTCTTAGTTTGAATCACACGTGTGGGATCGTGGACGCGCACTACTGGGGGGTTCAATACTAGAACGTCCGTCCAATGGTGGTCTAACATTGATTGATTCATGATCACAATCAAAACTAAAGAACCTTCACAACCTTATACTGAGGTTAATTATTCCATAATGAATACTATCTTCCATTTATTATTTAATAACCAGTTAATTTCCTTATTTCATTTGAACAAAATCTGAATTTACTTAATTGTATACACATGAAAATGAATCTGAACAATTTTAATCTTTGAAATAGTGCTTTTATTATTATTTCTATAACTTTTCTCACTCAGTATTCTGCCTTTGTTTGTATTATGAATTTAATCAATATATTATTAACGATTGTTTGTATTTATGTCCTCTGATTATGATTAACTCACAAATGTGCATACACTTATAAAATATGACTGAATGTATTTTGTAACTACAGTTATTATTCTTTTTATACAATTGGAGTTTGCCAAATTATTGATATTTTTTTAATATTTTATAAGTTGACTAAAAGTGGCATTTGATAGTTAGGGACAAATTAAATATATGTATCTTGGGTGTGTAGATGAAAACAATTGCTTATGCCAAATCTCATATTTATTCATTCTATTTATCGTCATGGTTTTGTCTCTGTTGTTTGTTTACTAAACAGTACCCTCTTACCTGCAGCTGCTGAATTAGAATACCTTAATGTGGTTCGTTATCTGGATCATTATGGAGTTAAAAGTCATGTGGTTAAAGTGAGTTAATTCAATTTGCATTTACGTATGACATCTTTGTTACTGTACATTATGCGTAAATGTTCAGTTAAATTAGTTGTGTCTAATGTATTATTTACACTTAACAATGTAAGTAATAGTCTCGTGGAATTTCGATTTCTAACCCAAAAATATTAATAAGTTTGCAACTGTTATGAGTTGAGGGTTTTGCACATAAATTATGAATGGTTTGTACAAAATCTTATGTTGATGAGGTAATATGTAAATGCTTGTAGTGTCTGTCATTATGTTAAGCCCAAATATCTTATTATTCTAACTTTCGGACAGCCCATTCTATTCATTCTATTTGAGTCACATTCTGACCTTGTTGGTTATTCGCTTATCAATATCTTGACCGTCTTTATATGAGCGCGTAGGTGTATGCACACTTCTTATCCCGTTACTCATCACATGTCTGTAATTTATTTTTGTGTGCTTATAAATATTGATTAACGCTTGGTTAACTGGGGGTTGGCTTACCAACCATCTCCAACGCGCGCCAATTTAGCTTCGCTTTCTCATCTTCGCATCGTTCCTCCGTTCGTTTGTCTAATCAACAATTATAGAAAATATATGCATTCAAAACTCCATCCTCGTTATTTGACTTATTTAATTCCGTTATTAAATAACGCGATTTAAGTCAATGATTATATACGAGGATAGGTGATAGCAAACATTCATACAATCATTACGATCAAATCGGAGTCAGATCTCAGGCCACTACATGCTGTATTAACAAATGACTTATTCTTCAGCTAGCATTTCATCATCACCAAAAAGTTACTGTAATCATCTATCAAGGCTATCACCGGAATGCTTCAAGATATATTCTACTATTGTTAGCGGTGATAGTTTATTAAAACTAATTTGTAATGGTAGGCATCTTACTCACTTACTTACTTTTGCCTGTCACTACTCATGAAGGAGCATAGGCCGCTCACCAGCATTCTCCATCCAACCCTGTCCCAACCAATCCTTTCCAGCTCTTTCCAGTTCTTATTCATCCCTTTCATATCCGCTTCTATTTCCCGACGTAATGTGTTCTTTGGCCTTCCTCTTTTCCTATTCCCTTCAGGATTCCAAGTTAGCGCTTGTCTCGTAATGCAGTTTGATGATTTCCTCAATGTATGTCCTATCCATTTCCATCGTCTTTTCCTAATTTCCTCTTCAGCTGGAAGCTGGTTGGTTCTCTCCCACAAAAGGCTGTTGCTGATGGTATCCGGCCAATGGATGTATTAGTAGTTGTCTTGTCTTAATGTTAGAGAAATTCTTGTTTGAAGGCATTACGTTTGTTTAAATACTGTCAACTTCGATTAACAGTATTCTGTGGTGTAAGAATTTTCTGGAAGAAAGCCATGAGCACCTCACTCAAGACATGGCACTAGTCCATGAATTCAACGACAGTTCGATTGAGCCATGTAAATAGGCGTATACTGCATGGTTGGGGTCTTTATAATCATGATAATCAGTGATTAAGGACTTTGAGTAAAATGGCTTAAAATTTTTGTAATGGTACAGGTGCTTTCATTTTTGTTGTTTTCTCTTTGAACCTGAGTCCTGGAATCTCTTCATACTCTTTTTCTGTGCCTTTTTTTACAACTACTCCTACTACTCTGGGTTTTATCTTGGTAATTTCATCTAGCTCTGCTAATGTGGTAAGGTAACTTGGACCGATGTACATATATGTCAGATTCTACGTTCCACATCACTGACTAAAGGAAATATGATTTATCTATTCATTCTAAACTGAGATGTGTTACATTTCATGAAGAACTGAACAGAAATCTTACATGAGTGATTATAAAGTATATTCCATCATCTGATAACATTCTGTATATAATCTATAAGTTGTTGAAACGTTCATTCACATTTTACAAAAAGAAAGTTCACGGCATCAATTCTTTCTTTGTTTATTTATCAGTACAAATGATCATCCTGAATGCAATTTTTCTCTCACATTTAACTCTATTGCTTCCAATCATACATATTAAGAATAAGAATTTTACTCCTTAAAAACGCTGTTTATCAGATTGTAGACTATGTTTGATTTTGTCTATTTTTTAAAATAGTAAATATATGTTTTCAGTTTCATTATGCCATTATGAACTTTGAAACTAGTCAGAATTGCGCTGATCTCATAACCTTTTTTTATTCTGCTTACATATGTTCTATGACTCATGGCTTGTAACTCATAATTTGTGATATTAACATAGACACTGTGCTGTTTGAACTAATAACCAATATAGCAGTTTTGTTTTATTTCAACATCTGTCCAACATATATCAATCACAAAAACGGAAAATAACCATAACTGAAAAGAGAACCCTTTGCTGTACCGCTCTTGTTATATGTCAGTCAACTATTCATAAACAATACAGAATCGGGTAAAAATGTGTATTAGCCTGCGATTCCACGGTTTTTACCAGAATAGCCATATTCCTTTATGACGATATGCTTAGTCAGGCTTCATGTCTTACTGTTTAAAAAACTTCATATATTTTGGCAATGATTCTTGGTTTTAAGTGATCTTACAGAACCAACACGGTGGCATCAGCTGAAAAAGTGACTGATAATGTGGATCACTTGAGCATGACTAATATCCATCTAGGCACATATAATTAAATCAACTTACTAAACAGTAGTTTTTATCTTGAATATTCTCATCATAACGGTAGAAGTAAATCAAAGTACCTGAAGTGGCTTAACGGACAGTTTGTTTACTTAACCAATCCCTTCAAAATTCTGATAAGGTGGACGAGCTGTTCAACTATTTACGACCGTGAAAGATGATGTTAGAAAATATGTTTGGAAAAAGGATTCTCAACAGAAAATAAGGGATTAATAATAAATTGATGCTTTTATTTAGTATAAATGATTTACGATATGTGATTAACTTCAAGTCTGTGATTTAGTTCAAAGTCTAAACGTTAATTTCGTTATAAATGGAAACTTATTAAAACTTAGTCTGTCCCTGAAGTATCTATATTTGTACATGTGTACACTTTTAGTGATCAACACCAAATGACGTATTTATTGAGTAAAACTACCATTAACATTTAGATTCGTGAACTATTCACCAACATTTGATTGATCAGTAGTCGAAATTCGAAACAGCAAGCGAATCACAAACCATGATCAAAATATCCTTTTTTTAAATAAAACTGATATACTGCCTAACGCCTAATTATATTGTTTATTAAGGTGATAAGATCAAACTAGTTTAATTTAAAAAATATTTATACATACAGACTAATAAGAACTGAAGAATAATTAAAAAAATATTTATTAAACAGTTACTTAATCGTAATCTCAGTCTGCCAGTTGATGGGGTTAGGTACTAGATTTAGAGCTTTCATCACGAATTGACATAAGCTAATATGTCAAAACTCTATTAAACCAAATGGTTGAATGAATTTTGCGCCAAAATCCAAGACCTGTTATCTTATATCTGATTGGTCCGTCCATAAATAATAGTCTTGCCACTGTCATTACATAACAAATTTGGTTTTTGCGACTACTATTACTGACCATGTAAATTATAAACACTTCAATGGTGAAATGTTCATTGAAAATCTCGAAAGAAGACAGTTTAAATAATTAATACACTAAACTATAATTTCAGAAGGGGTTTTGTGGATATTATAGTAATTTTATTAGTTGAGATCATGAGTCGATTGAAGCTAGATCACCATGGAAAACCAGGAACTCACCTAGTAACTCACTGAAGACGATGTTGGATGGGTCACTCAATTTCGTGGATTAGTTGAAGTTAGACATTAACACCGTCAGATGCCAACCCTGTGGTCTTGAGGTTGAGCGGGACTGATAGATCCTGGGTTCGAATCTCACTGGGCGGGATCGTAAATGCACACTGATGGGGAGTCCCACAGTAGGACAAAAGAGCAGTCCAGTGCTCCTAGGTTTTCCATGGTGGTCCTGCTTCAATTGATTATTGATCTCAACTATTAAACTATAATTATTGCAAACTATATTTATCGATTCATTGATCATTAAAATAAAAAAATTTTTCTGATAGCTATTCTGACATTTAATAACTTAATATCATAGATTACAAAACAACATATTGTCTTTTTTTTGCTTGCTTATTGTCAGTTAGTATTTCATTTATTCAGTATTTTGTATTCACTTCTTCTAATCGATAGTTTTTTTCTTCTGTTTTGTTTTGAAAAATTTCTTTTTTGGATAAAATCTGATGTATCTTATTTATATTACTCTGTCGTTTGATTATGATTTGAATAAATCATTTTCATATCATCATAGGGATAATTAGAAATTTTATATATAATTACATACTTATAGTTTTTCTTTAAAAAACAAAATTGTAATGATAACAACAGTTTCCGTTATATATATATATATATATATATATATATATATATATATATAGGAATAGATGAATTCCAGATCGGAATTCTAAAATTTAAGCACTCACCGAATACGATCTCCGGTGGATTTGTGTATATGTGTTTCTGATTAATTCTAAAATAGGCTTAAATAGCTGTCCAATGTTTTCTGATTTTCGGTGGTTTTGTAACTAAGATCGATCCGTGATGATGTTATTTTAAAAGTTTATTATGGATTTTTATGTGACCCCACCAACTTACTTTCATAGATTTATTCAGGAAATAGTTTTATCTGATTAAAACCAAAACTACGTTATACATAGCAGTACATACTCTAAATAAGTGTTCATAGTTAACACAAGTTTAATGGAAATTTCATTTTTAGTATTTTTTGTCATTTTCATTCATATTATCTTGTTTCTAATGAGATTTATTGTTCAACTCTTAGAAAAAACTTTCAAATGACTAAACCTTTCATACTTACTTCAAATGAAAATATATTTGCATACATCTTACAATACCTTTAAAGTGCATAGTAACTTCAGTTTTTATTGAAGTGCTAACATAAGTCTATCTAATAGAATGTATAATGATACATATTTGAAAGCTCTTTAAACCGATTGTTTAATAATAACAATCGGTTTTTCAATATCGAACATAATATTTTTTTCTGACCTCGAAATTGACATAATGAAAGAGCAATGAGATTGATAGCATTTATTACATGAATACATAACCTACTTATATTCAAATTAAAAATAATAATTTCTTTCTAAATAACTCTCATGCTATTCGATTGATAGCTTTTATTTCTAAAAGTTTAAAACAAATGCTATTTAAGGCGGAGATAATACAGTGAACATTGTACTCTTTTGTATTGGAGGACACTGAATCGTTTGAGTGTCAGTATGAATCAAATCTCATGATTGTTATCTGAAGTAAATAAAATAATTTTCTTCAATAAATTAAGGATTGTATTCCTCTTAGTTCAGTACAAAACAGATGGCAAACTGTTTTTCAATATTGAATCATGAAAACTAATACATTAGCAGACACTGTTGTGTGATATCTATGTAAATAGTTGTTCCAAGATTAGTTAAATATGATATTCTGGATAGCTAAATGAAAATATATTTAAAAATTACTAAGTAATTAGATATTCTTATCTAAAAAATCTTAGTAAACTTTAAATATTAGGTGATGACAAAGGTAATTAATATATGATCGCTTTTATGGTTTGTTAATCATAGAACACCATTTAACACTAAACTTAGAATCGTCAGAATTAGACATGATTCATGTAGATCATGAAGTTGAAATCCAATTGGTACATAGTTTCGAATTAAGCGAGTTCGTGATATTCTATGATAATCGTCAAATTCTACGGGTGATTACTACTGCACATCTAGTACGTTGAACTTTACTAGCCACAATTGATATTAGTCTGTAATTAAAAGGTTTTTCAGAAAAATGAATGTAACTTCCAATATAAGACTTCTTCGTAACATAAACTCACGGTCTCCACAAGGGCAGAACCCATAACCTCCAGGGGTCAAAGTGGAAGCCTAATTTACAGAGTAGAGTTGGTTTTTAATTGTTTATCCTTCTGATTTAAGTTAATTTTTTATATCCCACCATCATCATCCATTGTTATTGATGACGTTTGCCTCACGCCCAAAATAAGTGAGATGCACTGATCATGGCTTGGATTGGTTACTAGTATCCACATGATAATTTCTAGTATTTGTGTGACAAGTTACGGGCATTATTAGATTTTGTGATTTTATATCATAGGCTGACTTCAGTAATAAAACAATTAAAAGCAGGAGACATTGAGCAGCTGTTTTTTTATGTTATCGGTCTTCTCAACAATACTAAATCATTCATTTCAAGGAACCAATTACACAGTTGAATTATCTGATCGACTATAATAAATATGATATTACTACGAAGTGTCTATTTCTTTTGTCTTTTTTTTATTTTTAATTTCTTTGTACGAGGATGAACAACATAACCTTCAAACAATCACCATTGGAGTATCTTTTATTGGAATAAGTTTATTTCGTGATAATAAAATGTTACAACAATATTCTTGGTAAGCCTTTATTATTAATACTTCCAGTTAGTTTTAACCTATTGCTTATCATTTGTATAAATGGTTAAATTGGATTTTTCTTTTGAGTCATTACTTCCACATGTATGTTGTTTTATGATAAACATATTCATCCGTATAATACAATTGCATGTTTGCACGAATATGATTACATACTATTCAATAATGAAAAAGGCTTATCTCGTCTTTGTTATTTAAAGGTCCTTTTTAAAAAAATAATATAATAATAATATCTGTTTGCATTAATAGTTGAGATGTGGTTTTTTACAGAAAATCCTCCACAGTAACATTCACTAATCTGATTACGTATTTATCGTTTATAATAAATATCCTTTTACTTTAAACAACTTATGTGAAGCTGTGAAGAAAATAAACAAATACATAGTTTCGATTCTCAAAGTACTGAGACCTGACTTGACATATCAGTAATACGCTGCTTGTTTGACTTAAAAGTTTTAAAGACTTGTGATTAGGGATCAATTGTTCGGCTAGTAGACTACTTAGTCGTTTCTGAATTACACAGTTCACCGAAGTCACTTGTAATTATTTGTAGATTCTTCTGTCATTTATGTCGGATCTTCTTGATACACAATAATTTTGATCTATGTGGTATAACGTTTTCTGTGGCCAACTTTTGAACAACGGCTGCCAGATCATTCGTTCTCAAATCTTCAAGTTGTAGTTTAGTTTTGTGGTGATTTTCGAATTGTCATTCAATAGCACTAGCACGAAAAATACTCCCCCAAATGACGAAGTTTGGTAAATTGAATTATGCTACTAGTCACTAATCAGTAGCATAAAGTAACAACTTCAAATTACCTAGTTCATAGTATATCACAGCACTACTATTCCGAAAAGCGTGTTGGGAGAGAAATACGTCAACCTTTTTCGTCTTATGTATTTAACCCTGTTTAACCTCTCAAAAGTCACGTGTTCTATGCAATATGAACGCTTGTTGACAAATTCTAGAACGTTTAGTTTCGGAGGGATATTGTTTTGTCAATTAGGGTTTGTACATACTAGCAAACATTTTCACTGGCTTTGTGGATATGATGCATAAGTCAATAGTTTCAATAATCTTTGGCTTGAAAGTCATCTGAATTACAAGTTTATTCTTCACAGCTGTTTTCTAAGTGAATAAATGTCTAATTCAAATTCATTTTATTTAACTCTTTAGGGATAACATTTCGAAAATCAATTTCAAGGGAAAACGATTCACAATACATTTTAAAACGAGTTCAGTGAGTCATAAATTTAAATGCTTTGCTTAGTTTTGTTTATCATTCTTGTGGATACTGTATCAATCTTTCTACTGTTCCACGTCTGTCACATACATTATTTCGATGAATTCACAACTTTTGACGTATTCCCATCATACTTCACTTGTATGATGCTGATTGTTCTAATGATCCTACTCCTTAAGGTTGTGCTATGTTTGAAGAGATTATGAGTTCACCTAATCTGGGAACGGATCGAAGACTCCATGATATAAAGACTGATAAGCTAGCTATTCCGACGTGTCCCAGCCCGGATAATTAGAGAGAGAGAAGTTCAAGTTCGGAAGAGGGAAATATATTCCACAAGCAGCTAGAAGCACGAACAACCACGACAAGTTTAGTGGGAAATACACACACTTATGTATTGACTTATACATACATTTTTGATTGATAAGTAGAATAGAGTCACATATATAAGTTATAACAAATCACATGATGAGTATAGTTCATGTTAACTTAATACAAGAATATCTTATGTTATACAGAATAAAATGTCTTAAAGGAAAACAAAATCGAATACTACACTGAATATTCATCACATTGAATTAAAACGGAAGTAATGTTGAATAAAAATCATGATGAGTAAATCAATCTAATTTTGACTTCCATTCATATCAGGTTGACAATTTTTTATGAGCATTAATCAACGTTAATTATCTGAAAACGTGGTATAAATTGTCATACACGTTTTCTATTTCGTACATTCGGTTTATTATTCTTTGTTACGTATTTCAATGTCATTTTTCATACTTAAAAAAATTCTTTAATCGGTAATTAAGCTTTTATATTTATAAATTGAATTAGTTTTTCACTTTGTTGTAGATTATACTTCTTGTATCACCATTTTACAGACCTTAAAGTTACTCAGTATTCATTTACAAAGTCATATAATGACTTCATTGGAAACTATCTACTACGGTAGGTTGAATTATAATTCACTCTAAGCAGAAGGATTAGATAAGCTCTACAAACTATGAATAAATAAAATAATCTGAACACGCATAATTCAATGTAATTCAATTCGCTAGAAAAATTAAGTCATTACACATTACCATAACTATCGAAACACATTTTTTAACTACAAATAACTAAATAAGTTTTATATTTATAATAAATAATTAATTATGTATATTTAATGAATAATGTACCAATAGACTTTTTTCGTAGAAAGCTTATATCCTCCCATAGATTAGGACCTCCACAGACATTCTTATTATTTTCTTCCTTATTTGTCCTGTAGATACCATTTCTCCATACAAAACTCCTTATACTAATCTATACCTTGTCATTTAACTTTAATAATGACATTTGTAAGGAATCATCATTCAGAAATAATAACAAACTTGATATGCTATTTTATGATTTCATTTTCAGAAATCAATGAATGGTCATGTCACTTCTATTAGTGGATTAACTAGTCCAATCATAAATTTTGAAAGTGAATTAAAACAACATTATCGTTTTCCATCAGCTGTAAGTACTAAATTATTTTGGCAATATGCAGTTAGCTGTCATGCATTTTTTCGTGTTCGTGAACCAAATTCTACAACACAACGTAAATTTACTACTGGTTTAAATCAACAAACATCATCAACTATATCAGCAACAGCGCTTTATGCAGCTATGTCAAGAATTGCTAGTGGTTTCCAGCGTTATTTTTCAATCACTAGACGAAGTAGTCTTTCAACTGCTACTCCTAATGGTCCAGTTGGTGGAGTCGGTCGTACTTTATCTACACTAATGGAATTAAGACGCAGCTCCCGGGCCTTTGATCGTAGTTTTTCAAGGTGAGATTTTTTTAATGTACGAGTTTCCCTTATGCTTTACTTTTAGAAATGTCACATTATATACTTTAGATATAACAACATTCTTAATGTGAACGGTCGAAACCAAGATATATGTTTATTTGCTAGAATCTTAAAATAGTTTATAATAACTCATATTCATATTATTTCCAATAAGTTCAATAATCTACTTAAATTCCTCATATATCATTAATCACTATATGCTCACTCGTGTTTAATGTCAAAGTAGTAGTTCCTGGAGTTCTAGTGGGAAGCTGTGACATATGGTACCCAACTTTGTCGAGTATGAGATGGTTACTTATCTCTGCAATTAAAAGATGGTTGTGCAATATTGCGGATCCATTGAAGCTATTGGGTCCAGAAACATTGGCCTAACGGTAAAACCCTTGCATGGAGCCTAGAGGTCGTATGTTCCATCTCTGATAGGATCGTGAATCTCCACTCCCAAGAAGTCTCATACCAGGACGAAACTGCTACCCAATGTTTTCTGGTTCTCATTAGTTGCTTAACAAAGATCAGCCTTCCCCATCGACAATATTGTTATCTATCATTGAGACATCAGCGTGAGAAATTAATCAATATTTCTACGTCAAAATAGTTATAAGTAGCCTTTTTTATTAAGTTTATTTTTTGGGCCTGTTGACTAGACTAATGCTTTTTGGTAGTGTATGAGTAATGTGTCCTTGGATAAATAATCGTTTAATTTTACCGATTATACTGGATGTCATTGAACATTTAAATTGACTTAATTCAAAACTTACCTAGATTCCTGGTGACTTACTTTGATCTATTCATTTCAATATCATCTTGTTCTCCAACTGTAAGATATGACTAAGTCCTTAGTTATCAAAATATTTATCTGAAATTTGTAAAGGCTTAGAGATATTCACTTCTGTAAATTCATAAATTTGAAACAAAATGAACATTCAGTTTTCAGTTTATCTACATTCATAAAATTTGTGATGAAAATTCCTATGTTGTAGTTATTGTCAATTTTTGTCACTTGTAAAGTTCAGTATATCTATTCGATAAAGCTGTACACAGGTCTATAATCGTTTTCATGAATGAACAGTCTTACTTTTCAGTTGTAAATAATGTAATAAGATATTTCATAGGGTTTCTTAAAACTACATACTCACTCGCTACTCAACATATTTCAGTGTTGTAATTGTTGACTTAACATCTCAAATGATTTTTTCAATGTTCATTATGTCACTTCAAATTAACAAATTATTAGAATAGGGTTGTAGAGATTGTTGAGTTTAAATTGATATCATTAATGCATCAGTTTTAGACCACCATTAAAAACAAATTATTAATGTTTACCATATCGCTTCATGTAGATATTATTCAAATGATTGATGTCAATTTATTTCATAATAAATCATTTTCCATTCTCCACAGGTTACTTTTTACATATTACTGATATGATGCCAATTCGTTATTTTATAAATGCGCGTTCTTCAAAATACTAATGTACAGTTGTCATACGTATATTTAGCATCGATTTTATCCTGTTGATAGCATACTTTATTCTTCTATAGATGACAATCGGGATAGAATTTAGTGCATATTACCTAATATACACTCATTAAATGACAATTCATGAATAATCTATATATCTCCTCATCTCTGTATCCATTTTAAACTGTTTGTCTTATTGTATTATGTAACTGTTTGGATATGGTTCAGCCTTTAATTAGACTGATCTAAAAAATAGTTTACCGTAACTAAAACGACGGAAATGAATAACATGGAACAACAAAAATGGACAACCAGGTTGTTTTTAATGTTAAAGTACTAGTTCCGTGAGGACATATGAACAAGGAATAGCCATGATAATGCAATCGAAAGATTATAATACTAGATTCCGTTATGCAAACAATAACAATAGACTTAACAATTTAGTGACGAATTATAATGTGAATGCAGTAAGATGGTTAGAATTTTTTTTACTATAATCAAAGGTAATAGAGGTGCAGAAATATCAGTAAAAAACGAGGAGTCCCATATTAGAACCAAACGGCTCATGAATTCAACTATTAAAATTGCCTCAATCTCCATAATCCCCCATTCTGATACAAATATACAATTGTACAACCAGGTTTGTTTTAAATCCTTTGGTAATATATTCACTAGCAAATAAATGAGTCAAGTATATTATTTTCTCCCTTAGTTTAATGTAGTTCAAATATCGCTAGTGAACAATCTCTTTCAATGTTTAATCTAAATGATATAATTCACTGATAATTTTATCTAATTCATTTAATTATCTCTTTATAAAATTTCTGTTAACAGTATTTGTAGTGCAGTTCACATTTCAGAAAATCCCTTTTTATCATTGCAAATAAAAGACTTGAAATTTAGCTGATCATGTAAGCTGTTCATTGAACCCCTAACTTAAATATTTATCTTACATTTTGAATAGAAATACGAATAAAGAAATATAAAAAAATTGAAGAAAAATCTAACTTCTAATATATTCCTTACGTATGTAAACGAAAATCGAGTGTTATTCACTGATTTATCTGTAACAGGTTGTTTCCCTTAAATGATCATATATTAAGATGAAACATAATTGTCATATGATATATCGTGATTTTCAACATAAGTTATTGATGTGAGGCTGTTCAAATAATTGTCCTTTCACGTCAATCCATGTTATTGTCACTGAATACTTTTTTATTAACTCTAATTATTCAAAATTTTGCTTAAAATCTATGTCAGTCGTCTAAATTTATTTCTATCCAGAACACATAGTAGGCGAAGTAATCCTCTACCTCAGGTCAATTCAATTCCAATCGCATCACCTTCATTCAAACCGGATAGTTCAACTAGTTTATTGTCTGGAAATCCTATAGATTCAATTAATACAACTGGAAATCAATCAAAATCTTATGCTCAAATCCCTCCTGGTGCAAAAATTACTGGCTCTGCCAGTAGTGGAATATTAAGTGACAGTAAAATAACACGTTCCAGCTATCGTAGCAGTACTAATCAAAACCGCGAATCAAATAACGTTCTATCATCGCACACATCAATTAATACTAGTGGTAAAGCAAAGAAGTTAACAACAGATATAGAAAATTCTACTAATATCATTCGTTTATCTAGTCATTCAAAACAGAATTGTAATGAGGTAATTATAAGTAACTAATACTGATTATTTTGATACTAAAACGATAAGGTAGTGTTCGTATATATATATATATATATATATATATATATATATATATATATATATATATATATATATATATACAAAAATCAGTGTCGAGAGTAACGAGATCATTTAGGTGGAGTTTTTTTCCCTGACCTGAATGTTGTAGTCTAGGATCTTTCATCGTTCTTCTGAACGACATAATCAGCAACAACTTCAGGTAGAAGTGAAGTATTCGAATTTCTCCACATATGACTCTCAGATAACAAGACTCCATATAAGTCATCTACCTTAGCTACAATTTTTCATTGTATTAAGACCATGATCCAATATTCGTCATTCATTAACTACTTTCCCTTTCTCCTTTTAAGAACTGTTGTTCAAATAAACCTTCGTGCTATTTTTTGATAACTGTTAATTCGATTTCTTAAATATTTACCTAATTTATATATTGTAGTTATCTACGAGCCTTGTTATTTTTAGTTTTGAAGTAATTGTTGCTTTATTTATGTACATTTATGTATCGACAATTGCATAATCTGACTGTCAAAAGTACATATATAGACCATGTATAGATTCACGATATTGAGATTTTTCCCAATGAATGCAGAAAATTAATGAGGTTCCTTGAGATTCATATTAAAATGCAATTCACAAAAATAAACATCTAGACAATCGTTGTATTAAGAAAGCATTTGATGAATTTTAACACTTCAATCAATTGATTACATAACTGTTTACTGCAGAAATGTGTAGAGAACGACAGAAATCTGAATTTACAAAGCCCCAAATATATGTAATTGTTAAAACAAATTCTAATTTACTAATGCTTCTTTTATAAATCTGGTTTATATGAATTTACAAGCAAATTAATTTCTTTAAATTTACTTAGCTCAGTTCATAGAAAGAATATGTAATATAAATTTCCCATGTCCATTGTGATATCATTGAAAATAAACATATGTTGGTACTGAGAGCTTATAACACACGATAGGTTCAAATATTAATTGGACATACTGGATCAAGAACTTAAATATATTCGCATACTTAAGACCTCTATAGTATGCTGTTATCAAACTAAAAATGGTATTAGATGTATTGAAGCTGTAAACATAAGGATTTTCATAACTCTGGTTTTAGTTCAATTCAAGAGATTAACATACCTTTTTGTGAATAGATATTAAGTCCCTAGAAGATAACAGAAAAGCTAAAATCTGTAAATAACTGTAACGATCGAAATGTCAACATTCCTTTTGAACTCACAATTAAGAAACTAAAATTTATTCAATTAGACCAGACTATGTTCTTCTGTATAGAGTACAAAGCATTTTTGAGTTACTCGCATCAAATGAAATGAAAACAGTAACTCTGTGTTCAATTTAAATTGTTTAATATGTTGAGCCGTAGCTGAGCTTTTAACCAATAAGCCATATATTCGAACCCTGTTCAACCTACCTTTTATTCAAACTGCTGCATTGTATCATCAACCTTCAAACTAAAAACATATGGCTCAAAACCGAGTAAACAAAACTTATATTTTTCAAGTGAGTAACATTAACTTCGTGTAAAACAGCTTAGAGATCTGCTTAACGTTTTGTACTTGAAAACGCAAAATTTATAATCAACATACCTGTACAATTTAAGTCAGATTATTATTTCTGGAGTAAATTTTCATAGTTTAAATGTTTTACACATGCAAACATCGAATTTCTCGGTTATTTTCTGTCACTACTCCGACTACATTGAATTTATTTTGAATAAGATTTAATACTCGTTCTTTTATTCATATATTGGTCTAATTTATCTATTAGCTGGAATAACTGAAGGTTCCCGAACTAGTGACTAGTTCATGGTACCAACTAAACAGGAAATACAATTACTATCCAAATGATTGTGTACATATAGTTTAGGAAATGAAAACTATTTTTTTACACTAAGTGTTTATTATGGGTAGTACAAGTTATTTTAATAACTAATGATTGATTAAGAATAAAACTGAAGATTATAAAACCATATATATCTCTGTATTTCCTATAACTATTTTCACGTACGTCTATTCAACTCAAGATGTACCTTTTATCCGAGAAGGAACAAAGATGTTTCTATTTTACAAAAACCTGTTTTTTTTCGTAATCTTTTTTTAAGTTTGTTTCTTTTCTTCTTGTTTTCAGATATCATCTCAAAGGAATCCAACTAATATAACACCTAATCATTTAGATAAACCTGTTCGACCTAAATCATTTAAAATAACTAGCCCAGTAAATAGTGTTACTGGAGGAACTACACGAGTCAGTCAACGACGTCAACACAACCAACAGTCGTCTGTTCCTCTTCAAAACCAACACCAAGAAACGGTATGTTTTTTGATGATCTAGAATATGGTCTGTGATTAATAATAGTGTAGTGTGCACTACATACTCTGACAGATATAAGCAGTGTGTAGCAGCAGTCGTAGGTGGAATGTTTGTCAGCAGAATATCGAATTGAAGAGAACAAGAAGGGCAATAGAGAGCAACTGTAGTAACAACAGAATTGGTAGAATCATGAAGTGTTTGAAGGGTAACTGAAGAAAGATGTGCGAATATTGTATTTAATGTGTTTGATTTTCATAAAACAATAAATTGGTTTTCCCCGCCTCAGTTTTCGTTCCCTACATTAGTACTGTTCATCATACTTAATATCAAGTTATTTGATCTAACAGATGACCATTAATAGCTGATCATATTTTTAAAAAAGATTCAATATAATTCATTCTTAAGTCAGTCACAATTATTGTTTTCAAAGTCATTGATGATATAAATTTATTAAATAAAAAACAATCTTTCAATTGGTGATTGATTTTGTTTTTCTCTTGATAAAATTTACCTATCTTCGATTAGTTAAATAGAAGTGTTTTCTTGTTAATTATTTTTTTTGTATTGGCTGTTTCAATCTTCCCACTGATGTTTAGGACTGGAACTGATCAGTCTCTCATTGAGATATGTGCATCCTGTGCGGATTGCCTCAATATTGGTTTAAGTCACAAGCATTATAAGCCATGATGGGCAGTGACAAGCAGAAACTTATCAATTGCAACCCTAAACATCAAGATTCAAACAACCAGTACAAATGAATTAAATTTCACTCCATTTCGTAAGCCAGTGGCTTTCTGAACTCAGTATCTAAGTTGACAACGCAATGGCATTTGAAGCAAACGGTACTTGGTTGAAATCCTGGAATAAACATCAACTCTAGGATACAGGTGCATCCAGCTGATGAGTCCCAAACAGGACGAAACGCGCATACTGTATTCCACTACTAGCCACAATCCGTTCCGTTGCTATTAACACTGTAAAATGATGAATAAATTTGATGTTATTGGATGACGTCACAACAGTAAAAACTTCACAAATAAATTATTCAACATAATATAAATATAACTTTTGCCTTTAAATATGCTTAAATGAAATTAAGTAGTTCATTGATAATTAACCTAAAAAAACCAACGTCAACCAGCTTCTTACTAAATGATTTGCTTTACTGAGTGTTCAAGTGTTAAGATTTGTAATAATAGACATGATTCATAGACCTAAATGAAAGTTATAACTTTTGTTTTTTTTTGGAAATTCAAAATTTCGTCACAGTGACAAAATTTTAACAGCTGCTATCTATTTCTTTTTAACTATCCAGAGTTGCTGATCATCTCAAATGCAAATCATTAATCAGTATTGATTGTTTAAATTACAATTTCAACGTTTTGTATAATTGAACTAATTTTTTTCACTTCATACCATTATTACAAAATGATTTATAAAGTGTGTAGTCACATTACTGATTTAGTTTTCAAAAAACAAATTCAATATAATCAATTGTATTCCATTCGCTTACACATGAAAATACCCTGACCAGATTGTTCGAAATATCTAGCGCAAATACATCATATTTTTTAAATCGACTCAAATATTTTAGTTACACTGTAAAACTTCATCAAATAAGGTTAATAGTTTTAAATTTTTGTGTTCAATCAGTTAGATCTTCATTTCATTTACTGAAGAAAGTTTTCTTCGTTTGTTACAGCTTCTATTCCCTTTTATTATTAATGATCGCCTTATTCATTAATAAACATTTTGTTACAGCGAAGAATTCTCAGAAGCAATTGTTAAGTATTACAAGAAATATCACCTTAACATACTTTGGAATTGTAAATATTCTGAACACATTTGAGAAGTTTTTTTAACAGTCAGTATGTTCCATAAGTATTCAATCGTTAAGGTGTTCTACTATGTCAAATGCTACAGTTGCACTTCCTATTCACCATGTCAAAACTGCTTGAATCTCAATATACCGAGAGCTAAATGATTTCTGATTGTTTTACATTATTCTGTATTATCAGTATAGTGTTGTGGAGATTATCAAGTTTAGATTAACATCATGAATAGATCAATGTTAGACAACTATTAATAACCTGAAACTCCTCACCACTGCGCATCCACGATCCCTAACGAGGGATTCGAACATATGACCTTCTGCATCACGCGCGAACACTTAACCTCTAGACCACTAAACCGGCATACAACTGTCCAACTTCAACCAATTCACGATATTACGCCACCGTCCACCATTGTCTTCAATGAGTAACCGCCTCACAATATACACAGTTGAACTCCACTGGTCATGGGTTCTCACTAGAACAGGAAATTCATTTTGGAGCCAGTCACTAGTGAGTGTTACAAGTCTGTACTACAAGAATTTGTGACCCATTTATAATACCTCATGAGTTAGCTTTCACAGTTATTCAGTTCAAACAAGTTTAATGATGATATTTGCAAAGTTGAAACACAGATAGTTCAAACGTTTGTCCAAGTCTCAGTAAACAAGCCATACTTTTTGATTTATTGAAGTTGGTCATATTTTAAGATAGAATCATAAAAGTAATATCAGAAATTGTTGATTCTTTGACGTTATGTAGTTTGACGTATTTGACGAGAAACTTCTAACTATTTGTTACTCATCAACAAAACGTACTTGTAATCGTAAGCGAACTAAGGCTTTCTGTGAGATTTCCAACCAAGTCACTGATTTTCATCTTCTGAGATGTTACTATTGAGCTATCCGCAAATCGACCGACCTCTTGTAAAGCTGATATATTTAGAACTCACTGATTAGCTACTAATTTGATATTTGTCTAGTCGTTTTTAGTGTTGATCAAATTCTACCAATCATGATGTTTACTTTATCAATATGGAAATTCTGTAAACAAATTAAATAAGCGTTGAACACATTTAAATTGTTTAATTTTCACTAACTTAAGTTTCTCTTCATTCGTTACCTTACTTAATTTTATGTTGAATTAAGTTTGCGTTATATATTAATGCACTTAAACTCCAGAGAAAACATGACATTTTTAGGAAACAACAAAACGTCACTGTTTTCATATCCATTTCTTGAGACTGTTTCTCCTGTAGTGTTAATATTTAAACTATAGCCAAATAAAACTTGCCAAGTGAAAAAGAAAAATATCGCTTCATAACTTGTTTCTACTCACTTATGTTTTAAATTTATGAAAATGGAGTTTTTAAACCGATTAATATCATTTCTTTTTCATCATACAAATATATCTAATGATTGACAAAAGAATCTTGCCATTGTATTTACAATTTTGTATCTCACTTGGTAATGGCAATCTGTTACATTGTAAAACACTAATGGTCACAGTTTTTACTAACGATGTGAGAGTCTAGTTTGAAAGTTGTTACTTATGTGCCGAAGTTTATAATAATAATGATTACTATTAATGCTTGTTACAGATATCCCGTTATAAGACGGACTAGTTTAAAACTTGTGGAATAATCCTATAAAATTTACTAATTTCCGAAGTAAGACCTGATACTTTTGCCCAAAATGGCAATGAAAGCTTTACATTTTATTCATACTGTTGCGATAAACCAACATTAAGAAAATCAACATACCGTACTTTAGGACTCTTCAACACTTAAAATTTTCTTAATTTTTGAAAGATTAAGTTACTAATATCTATTTGGAAAATAACTTTGGAACCAACTAATTCAAATAAATTTTTATCGTATATTTTCCATCCGTTTCCAACTATCAACTTTGCATTCATGAAGAACTTTTATGGCAAAAATGTTTTTTGAAAAACACTAAAATACTTATGTTCGAACAAACTTTTGCGTTACTATCTAATTTTGTTACATCACATGTTCCAGACTAAAACTGTTTAATCTTAGTTGGCTTAACGTACTGTTTGTTTATACGTTCATAACGTTTACTGCTTTCTATTTAAAGCTCACTATTAATTATCAGCTTGTGAATACATAATCTGACATATTACAATTTTGCTTCTTGTCTTACTATTATTATTTACAGGAAGAATTTGAGTTCTTGTATATAATCGATGATTAAATAATCAATTATACACTTATTGTCGTTCACTTTCGGAAATGTCATGAAAGATTTGATACTTTTCTTTGATTAATGTGTATTAGTGACGTAACTGAATGTAATCGTCTACTTGTGTTATTTGTAACAGATGAATTAGTTCGCGTTCTCTGTAAATAAATGAAACAACACCTGCATTTGTTCATTGTCAAAAAATCAAGTGATGGTTTACCAGTTATTTAAGTGAAGTATGATCTGGAATCGCTTGTAGTAACGCAGAAGTACTAACACTTTATTCATTTTGAACCTCAATTTCAAAAGTATCTTTTACGACTTGTTCAACAAATTCATTTATTGAGAGCGTAGTAATGAGACCAGCTTCATCCAATTGATAACCAGTCAGTAATCAGATTTTATAAATCAATATTTTATGGAAAATAAACAATAATATTAAAAGGAGTAGCCAAATTTCACATTATTTTATCAAGGTTTTCTACAGGTTGTTCTGTTAATAGATCCAAAAAGCAACCACATGTAAATTATTCTATTTAGATATAGATCATCTATATTCTCGAACACTAAGGAGGATGATAATGGATTTTTGAAGTTCCCAATTTTTTCCTCATTACAGTTCGGAAATCAAGAATAAGATTTAGCATAAAAACTACATAACAATCCCTGTTAGATAAATGACTATACACCAATGGCATCATTAAACAAAGTTTTTGGTTAGTACAGGGATTTTATAAAAGCTATTCTCATTTTTACTTCGAATTCCTAGTTTCTGTCCAATATATCTTTTATTTAAAAGAATAAAAATTTATTAGGTAGTTAATGCAGTAATAATAGTATATCATAGTTTAATGGAAAAAATGACATTTTAAAAGAACATTCTCAAGGGGTTCCTAAGAATTTACTACATTACCTTGATGTATGCATTTACCGTATTAATGTAGGTGCTCAACTTTGTATCAGCAAATCACGAGTCTAATCTCGTTTTCTCATTATTGAAATTAACTAAATAAATTCTACATTTAGCCTAGTGTAAGTATGTCTATTCTGTTAATTAACTGAATAGTATCAGAGTGTTAATGATCATATTTCATACAATTACTGATTTCTTATAATTTATAACGTGACGACTCAATGTCAACAGCTCGGGTAGTACCACAAATTTCAATAAGAAATGAAACCTCAAATCTAACTCACAAACCTGTATATATTTGTTGTTTTTTACTAAATAATCAAGTTAAAGATAGTGACTGTTAAATCTATGCATAGGACATAAAAGATTCTGGTGATTATCTATCTGTTAATGATCACTTTCAAAACGCATAGCACAATCATCATAGAACAGCTACTAACAGCTTGATCTGGAAAGAAATTGACGGGATTTCTCATTTTCTAATCAGTACAACTAATAACATTCTGTATGATGAAATGAATGTTTTATGTCAATATCAGCGACTAATATCTTTCTTGTTTTTGGTCATATTTACAGAATTCCTCTAGCCATCAACAACACCAAAACCATTCTACTGTTGTCAATGATTCCAAAATTTTGTCTAAAAAATCTCAGAAACTACAAATGATTGAAAATGTTGAGTATAAAGAAACAGACACCGTTGATGCTACAATTAACAGTAATTATACAAATAATCAAGAATTTGATAAGGATGAAACTACTGCTTATTGGAATACACGCAGATTACAACGTTTTCAAGCAAATAATAATAATAATCTTTTCTTTAGTACGAGTACAGCCTCAACAATACCAATGACAGTAACAGCATCGACATCCACACCAATAACAACATTGAGTAATTCAAATTATTCAAAAACTCATTCCGTCTCTAATATAAATAAACATGACGACTCTGGTGAGAATGATTATGTTAGTTATAACCGTACGGTTAGGCGTGTTGATGAAGACCCGCAATACTTAAAATCTTCACGTGTATCCTTGAATAATGCACTGAATCGTTCAAACAATTCATCTCGCAATCAATTAAATCATTCTATCAAAGGTTTGTTTTCGTTAATTGTCCAGATTAACTTCAACTTTTCATTTTCACTTTAAAATGTGCATTATTCGAAAGTTAGTTATTACCTCAATGGAAACATTGGATTTAGATTGTGTTTGCTTTTTTAATTATTGAGAAATAATTGAATTTAAGTATCTTATTTATTAAGCATATTTCAGGAACAACGTATTGATGTATCCCAAGAAAACATCTACTCAACGGTGTCTATGTAGTTAAGTTATTTGAAGGAAACGTTTTCGATCAATATTCACTGTCTCTAAAGGATTCTTTTTTTTTCTAAGGGCTTGATGTTCACTTTTTTTGGGCAAATGAAATATTTGCTAACGTAATAAATCATGCTGTCAAATTAGAATTCATTGACAAATAGTTACCAAGGTTTAAGGGATATTAAGGTAATGTAATAATAAATCCTTTTTTGGATGAAACTTATAATCAAGATATTTTCTGGAATAAATGTAAACAAAAAAAATATCATAGCTCTGTACTATCAGATATAAGCCACATTTTGTTATATTGTTTAACTGTAAGTCTTAGACTTCTGGTTAGCCATATTAAATAAAATTTTATTTCTGAAGAATTGTGAATAAACCGAGTAAATCATGAATAAACTACTGACAATACTTTGGACACCAGAACAAAGTTAATAAAATAACAATCAAAGGGACTAATTGCTTTAAATCAAAATAGTCTTATATTACTACCATTGAGAATGTTTAAATCACTGAAAACAGCCTCCATTGCTTTTCATTTTATTATTGTCTTTCATAGTTTACATTTCAAGTTAATCTTAATTAGATATCTATTAAGAACTGGGATCACTTGATATCTATTTCGCTTTTATATGCAACGTCACAATGTTGTACATCTACGTTTCACCTGGAGATTGAGTCAATGACATTCAGGTTTTTCGGCCAATACTTAACTTCTAGACTATTGAGCTGGAATCCGACACTTCACATGTTCAGTTTCAACTGGTTCATGATATTGAACGGTCGTTTTCTGTTACTTTCAGTATGTAACAACTCCACATCTGACATTTCTGAACTCCAATTATCGTGAGCTCTCACTAAAACTCTTGATTTAGCCTTTCGAGGTTAGTCACTAGTGAGCATACAACAATTACTGCTAAAGATTCCTGGAGATTGTTGAATGCGACAATTGTAATTGTTCATCTATAAATTTGAGTTTACGTTCGTTCCAGTTACCATTTCTTATATCAGTTTCTTCTACTGTTTCCGGATCTAAAGACAACTTTTTCATATTGATTTATCATTCTTTAAATATTATCAGAAGGGGTTTTGTGGAGATTGTAGTAATTTCAATGATTAAGATCATGAGTCAGTTGAAGCTAGACCACCATGGAAAACCTGGAAGCACTGGACGGCCGTTTCGTCCTATTATGGGACTCCTCAGCAGTGCGCATCCACGACCTCGCCCCCTGCGAGATTCGAACCCAGGACCTACTGGTTTCGCGCGCGAGCACTTAACCACTAGACCACTGAGCCGGCATCCAACGGTGTTAATGTCTAACTTCAACTAATCCACGAAATCGAGCGACACATCCACCATTGTCTTCAGTGAGTTACTATCCCACAACAGACCTGGTTGAACTCCACTGGTCACTACTTCTCACTAGAACTCCAGGATATACCTCTTGAAGCCAGTCACTAGTGAGCATATGTTGATTATTATCAGAAGGGGTTTTGTGGAGATTGTAGTAATTTCAATGATTAAGATCATGAGTCAGTTGAAGCTAGACCACCATGGAAAACCTGGAAGCACTGGACGGCCGTTTCGTCCTATTATGGGACTCCTCAGCAGTGCGCATCCACGACCTCGCCCCCTGCGAGATTCGAACCCAGGACCTACTGGTTTCGCGCGCGAGCACTTAACCACTAGACCACTGAGCCGGCATCCAACGGTGTTAATGTCTAACTTCAACTAATCCACGAAATCGAGCGACACATCCACCATTGTCTTCAGTGAGTTACTATCCCACAACAGACCTGGTTGAACTCCACTGGTCACTACTTCTCACTAGAACTCCAGGATATACCTTTAAATACCTTTAAATAGACAAGACTTTTCATATGTTTAGGCAATTAGAGCTTGAATTACTTCACTAAGCACCCTAGTCTTATCGTTTAAGTTACATTTTACCGCATTTTCTAATTAGATCATTATTACACACAATAGCAAATTATTGATCGTTTCTTTCTCGTTTTTTTCTTTTCAAACTAAAGTAGGAGAGGTTTCTTTTTAAAAGCCTTATATCCTATCATACGAAACTTTTTTGAATGTAATTTTCTTTTGTAGAAAAATCCATACTAATAATAACTAAACTTTCTTTTCTAACATTTTTTTGTTCTAACCGACGTATAGTCAAAATATCTAAAATAATATTCTATAAATAAGAAGGTTTTTCTTTCTATAAAAGTTTCCATTATTAAAAAAAATTGAAATGAAAATCAAATCATCTTTAAGATCAACTAAACCAAAGTACTTTTGAGTTATTTCTTTGTTTTCTAAATTTAAAAAAACATAATCCTAATCATGGTTGAATTGATTTTAATTCTGAACAAAAAACAGTAATTTCAAGTGTTGGTATATCGTTCTTTCAAAAAGATAGGTGGTTTGTATGGTATGTAGATTTTGTTATTCATTTTAAAACAGTATCATTAAAATTATCATTAATCAGTACATCATCTGATTTTTTTGAACTAGAGTTGTGTTAATATAAATGCTGGGAGACTTCAAGACTAAATTTGCACAAGATTATTCTTTGAAACATCTAGATTTTTTTAAAAATAGTTATTAATGGTGATTTGTATTGGAATGGTTGATACACATTTAGTATTATTTCATAATTATCAACTAGATGTACGAGCGTTTTTACTTCAGCTATTCTAGGACTACCCACCATTCCCAGACAGCGTGAATGGAACATTGAAGTAGGTCCCCCGACGCTAGCTAAAGTTCAGAAAGCTATAGCTAATCTGAAACGAGGAAGAACAGCTGGTCCAGATGGATTGGCTCCAGAGGTCTTCAGGGATGGTGGTTCAATTTTGGCGATTAGGTTGACCAATATTTTAGCTAAAATATGGGAGTTGGACGTGATCCCATCTGACTGGTCACAACCACTGATTGTCCCAATATATAAGAAGGGGTCAAAATCATCATGTGATAACCTTCGAGGGATTAGTTTGACTAATATAGCATCTAAAATACTAGCCTCAATAATTATCGGACTCCTAACTAAGACTCGTGAACTGCAAACAAGTAAACATTAAGCTGGCTTCAGACCTGGTCGTGGCTGCAACAACCACACATTCACCATTCGTCAGGTTCTAGAATACAGACATGCTTATCAGCGTCTGACAATGGTGGTCTTTCTTGACTTAAAAGCAGCATTTGACTCTGTAGACCGAGATGTTCTGTGGAAGTGTCTGTTATTGAATGGCGTACCTCAGAAGTGCATAAACCTTGTAAAGGCTCTTTACTTTAACACTATTAATTAAGTCAGAACTTATGGTGAACTGTCATCTGATTTCGCGACCACATGTGGTGTCCGTCAAGGCTGTCCACTATCTCCATTTTTGTTCAATTTCATCACAGACGTACTGATGGAAATAACAGTCCCGTCGATTGAATTTTTGGGCATCAGTCTACCACGAAGTCCACTTATCGACTTGGAATACACAGATGATATAGTCCTTTTTCAGTGAAGACGCTGAATAAATGGGGAGTCTTTTGGTAGCTTTGAGCAACATTGCCAGAATGTTTGGGATGCGCTTCTCCTTCTCTAAATGCAAATAGTTACTTCAGGACTGGTCTGAGTCAACACCTGAACTAAGGATAGGGAGTGAAGTAGTCGAACGCGTTGACAAATTCCCTTATCTTGGAAGTTTGATCAGTCCTAATGGGTTGGCGTCTGACGAAATCTCAGCACGGATTTGAAAAGTTCGTTAGGTTTCTGCCAACCTACGTCACCCATAGCGAAAGCGTGATATCCGTACATCAATTAAGAGGCGAGTATACTGTAGGTGCATATACCCCTTGTCTTTCCTTAAACCGTGAGATTAAAATTGCCTTATACCTTTCTTTCTACGAACTAATTCTTTCTTCCTGTATTATATTCTTATACATAATATTTCTTCTATACATTAATACTATTGAAAAGACTACTTCTATGAATTCGGTGTTCATCCTGTTGTGCTAATGAGGTATAGCAACTTGGACCGATGCACACATGTGCCTGGTCGTACGTTGTAGCTGAGTGATGAGCGTCGAATGCAACATCTGTAATTGGAAACAACTGATCAGTACGCTTTACATCATTGATTTGTGATATCTACTTGTTTCTAAACATTGGACGACTTCAGTAGTTAAAAATCTGATATACTTCAAACATAAGTTGTTTGTCATGACTCACTACTTTTTAAGGTGATGATTGGCTGGTTTCGTTTAGTTTCATCGGAAGTAGCGAACGTTTTCTCACACACTTTAAATAGGACGAAGAATATATCTTGATCTACAATGATATATACTACGTAGCAACGTAAATCGCTTTTCATTTAACTTATAATAATAAATATGTGACTTTGTATTACTTTTTCCAAACTTCTAAATTTATAAACATTTCATTGAATATAGCGAAACATTTATCTTTTGACAGATGTACCCGTAAATGATACAGTTTGTACTCCAACTGAATTTAAAATTCCGCAAACTTATTTGAATTTCAACACAATTTATTTTCACTAGTTATTTGAAATATTTCCTTCAGGTTACTTAATCACCCTTGAAAAATTGCCGATAGGATTTTCGATTTTTCGTCAGACAATTAGGTTTAAGAAGAAGTACAGTGTAGTTGTTGACATTCATCAACAATGTCTAATCATAACCTTGTGCGAAATCCATTATTCTCCGAATGTCTATATCACTTTCACTGTATAGCGAATTTAACAACTATCCTTTAAATATATTTCAAACAGAATTGCTTTTTGTTATCAAGGAACGTTAGTGTTTTGGCTTCCGATCAACCGTTAAGATCTGACTAAAAATCCTTATTTTGTTTAATTCATTACATCTCTACTCTAATCTTTGTCTTAATTTTAATATACTGGTTCTGAAGATCATTCAGACATATTTTTGTCCTTAATTGACTTTTTTTCAAGAAAAAAAAACAAAATTAAAAGCTTCCTTAAGAAAATCACTTGCTTGCATTCACCATACATTATCCAACACAGTTGAAATCATGTTATCTTGTTGCTTCTCGATATCTATTAGATGCATATTTTTCTAACTTATGTAACAGTAATAAACGTCTGGTATTATCACTGGTATAAACTATAACATCATTTCATAGAAACATCTCTGTCTAAAAACACAAATACAAAGACTGAAATAACATTTAACTCCTTATTTAACTAAACAGAAAAAAACATTTTTTGACTATTAAAAATAATTTTATAGTTAAAATACCACTTAAATTCTGTTTATTCTCATAAAATTTATTTAGATGAATTCTTAGTCATTTTGGCAAGTTAATATGTATAGTCATTCAATACAACTCTAAATATTTATTACAATAAAAGAAATATATACAGAAAAAGATATACTACGTTTTTGCTACAAATCATACTTGACATATTACACAAATACAAATGTAAACAATCTTACATTTCAGTGAAATGACTGTAGAAACCACCATAACAACGTTACCTAAATTTAATTTAAAATTAAAAATAATGTAGCAAAACTTTTAAAACATATTTTCTCTTTAACAATCTATTGAAGACACAAATTTAACTACATAACATTGTTACGAGAGAAGAATATAGTCTTCAATAGATTCTTTACCATTCTATTATTATTATTATTATTATTATCCGTTTTAGTCATAAAATATTCCATTTTTTTAGATATATTATAACATTTTAAAATTGCTAGTCTTTTATTTCACTAATTGAGTTTCTTAACTAGAGTTTTGATTTATGAATTGAACTATCGATTTTTAGACTAAAATAAGAGAGAATGGTAGATTCTTTTAGCACGATTTAATGCTGAGTAAATAGGGTGGACAATCAACGCAACTTCAGCGAAAACATACTTTATGTTCCCGAATAAACAGAGATGTGGTTTTTCCCATCGAGTTTATATGGCTCAACAAAAGATAACCTTATTAGTAAACATCACTATATATAATATTGTACAAGACTTAGCGACCAGTAAAAAGTGGTATCAATTACGTGACTTTGTCTCATCAATGTATTAAAATTAACAGTAATAATTGCTGTTATGGCAACGTCGAAAAGTCATAATATCACTGAATCCCATAATCTGTAATATTTACGTTATTAGAAAATGTTTTATCATAACATACCACTCCATCTGATTATCTCGCATTTCTTTATTCTACTTATTTAAATTTCTATAAGTTTGGTCCAGGTAGTGCTAATGACGCATGAGTTGTCATTTCATAAATAAGGCCCAACCAATAGAATGTTTGCATTTAAGGTTAAGAATTATAGCTTATTGAGACCTCCAAATGTCTAATAACAAAATAAAACGATGTTTTGTTTCTTCAAGACAATGTTTCACTATTTGTATCGACAAATAAAAGTTTCTTTCCACTTATAACTTCTTCATATTAATGAGAATGTATTCTGAGTCCATCTAAAATATTGGTGTTTTTCTTATGTTTTTGGTCGTAGGTCTATCAGTTCATTGTATTGGAGTTAAATGCACAACACAACTGCCACTAAGGTGTAATGCAAACTAATAACTGTTGATCCATTGTACGCTTTTCTTTATTAATCACAGTGGATTAAGTAACCCTTTCATACTGTTTTGAGATCTACCTTAAATATCTCCCAGTAACTCCTCTATTGATCAAACCTTACTTACTTACGTACTTAATTACGCCTGTTACTCCTCGTGAAGGAGCATAGGTCGCTTACCAGCATTCTCCATCCAACCCTACCCTTTCCAGATATTTCCGGTTGTAATTCATCCTTTTCATATCTGATTCTATTTCCTGACGTAATGTGTTCTTTGGCCTTCCTCTCTTCCTCTTCCCTTCAGGATTCCAAATTAGCGCTTGTCTCGTGATGCAGTTTGATGATTTCCTCAATGTATGTCCTATCCATTTTTGTTCTCTGAACTGGATGGTTTGGTCGTGGAGCTTTCATCGTTCTTCTGAACGACATCATCAGCACAAACTTCAGATAGAAGTGAAGTGTTCGAATTTCTCCATATGCGTTTCACAGCTTGTTCTGTGCACCTCGATGTTGATTGGTTCTTATTGACCTTAAATTTGTCATTGTTTGTGCTGATGATGTCGTTCAGAAGAACGATGAAAGCTCCACGACCAAACCATCTAGCTCAGAGAACAAAACTCCATCAAAATCATCCACCTGAGCTACAAATCTTCTCCACCATCTCAATGTCCTATCCATTTCCATCGTCTTTTCCTAATTTCCTCTTCAGCTGGAAGCTGGTTGGTTCTCTCCCACAAAAGGCTGTTGCTGATGGTATCCGGCCAATGGATGTTGAGTATCTTGCGTAGACAGCTATTGATAAATACTTTTACTTTCTTGATGATGGTCGTGGTAGTTCTCCAAGTTTCAGATCCGTACAGTAGAACTGCCTTGACGTTGGTATTGAAGATTATGACTTTGATATTGTTTGAAATTTGTTGATCAAACCTTGAAATTGACCGATATTTTAAGGGACTGATCATATTATATGTGACTCACAATATGACTGTATACGTTATCCAGTGTTGTTCATGGTGTTATTTTTGTTTTGCATACCTTTATTACTATATTTAATTAAATGATAACAAAAGAACCACAGTGTTCAATATCCATTTCATTCTTAAGTAGTATATAGTACTTGTATTTAATCCTCTTTAAACATTAAAATTATTTTATGATAATTTATTTTGTTTTCAGGTCATGATCAATCTATTAATCAGAAAAAAGAGGTATGTCTTACATCATTATTCTAATGAAAACTTCAATATTTTCTGATTTTATAAATAGATTTATGTTGTCAGATACATCTTTCAAAATAGTTTTTCACAATTTTAAACCTTCTGAAATATTTAAATGAGATTATTACAAAAAATTAATTTTGTTTGACTATGTGAAGAGTTAAAGACAATGTATTTACCATCAATGCCAGTACCAATCCTTGATATATCTCAACACTGAATCCGTAAATGTTATCTTAGCCTTATATGATTTTTGCGAATTTTTCAAAAAAAAACAAAAAAAATGGTTCAATGATAAAAATCACTTGTTTTTCAACCATTAAAATAATAAATTTAAAATTTATCAACTTAGATTTATACAGCCTATATATATATATATATATATATATATCCAACCTTTACCCAAAACTATTTGCCTTAAACTTTATTATCTGTATTGAGTCTTTGTGTTTCATTGGAATAATACATCAGTATTTTGACGTATACATTTTTCAGTACATTATTTTCTATAGTGAAGTCGATTATTGTTTTTTTACAAAGTTATATGTTACTTTTTCTTTCTTTATCTTAAAGATTATTGTATAACTGACTAAATAGATGAACAAATAAGTCCTTAGACCAATAACCTGATATGTTTAAAATTTTTATCTTGATACTTTTAGCTTTGATTGTAAAGGGATCAGTTTGTCTACTAATAGAATCATGAACATCCCTATACAATTGAGCTCTTCTAAATATTCATTACGTGTAAAACAAAAACTTATATAAAATGTGAGCAAGTGATAACTGATCATGAGAATAAATCTTTTGACCTATTATTCTTGAGTGAAAATAATAATTAACCTAGGAATTAAATGGTTATTCAACAAACTGATAATTATCCGTTAAAAGATTATTAAAATACGATTATTATTTAGTTAGGTACGAAAATAAGATCAAGAAATTCTTTAAAACAAGTTTAAGATCGTTAAAATGAACAACGATGAATCTCTAGAATTTGCAATGAGAAGCTACAAAACTAAATCATCACGTTCACATTAATTCGAGTTCAGTAGTGGTCAGAATGAACTGCAAATTATTCGATTGAATTTTTAAGTGGATACTTCGAACTATGAACGTTATGGATTTAATTTCGAGTAGGGTAATCAATTCGCGTACTACAGAGAAATCCAAAATGTTCCGATGAAGTATTTCTCAACCGTCTATTTATTTTTGATATACTGATGAAAATTAACAGTAAATTAACTCAAATTTAACAAGCACAAAACTAAAGCAATTACGAATATATCTTATCCACACTTTAGCAATAAATACTTACAAGAAAATAATACTGAGTAGCCAGTTTATTTCTCCTCTATCCTATTCATCCTTGTCTTTTTTAATTATTTATTTACATTTTTTAATACTCCTTAATGTCAGACAGTCAAAGGGAACCATTATTAGGCCTTGAAATTAAGTTTCATTCATGGTTTTTGCCACAGGACAAGGTCTATCTGAAATCTTGGAAAAATTATTTCTGATTATTTGATTTAAACCCATGACACACCGTCACATCCAGTGATGTTACCGCCAAACTATTCAGGACGCGGGATTAATATTTCCACACTGATTGATTACTTTAGTTTTCTAATTGTTTAGTAATTTTCAGAGGCACAAAGTAAATTTAATAGCTTTCATAAAATTAACTCTATAAATGATAATTCTTTTAGGGTTTATGTAAATTTGAAAATGAAAACAAACAGGAAATGAATTTATTCACATATTATTTTCGACCAACCTACCATTGAATTTTAATCATTTATTTAATGACCGATTAAATTTTTCTTCATATGCATGACTGTACATGATTATGATAGTTGTCAAGTATAATAGTATAACAACAAGACAATAAATTGAACAGATTAATATTTAGTTAGGTGATTTGTGAATGGATTGTACATTCTGATGTACAAATTTACATTAGCCGAATTCGGTATTAAACATCAGAGAGTAATAAAATTTCTTTCTTTCGTCCATGTACATTCACGCTATTTGCATTAAATCTTTTATTAATTATTTCCACTATTAATATGTTTCTTTAAACTATTGATTTCATGATTTAACAAGAAAATAGTTAACTTATTATTATTATTTCAACTTCTAGTCAACTTACTGACGTATGCCTGTTACCCCTTGTAGAGAAGCACAGGTCACCCACCAGCATTTTCCATCCAACTCTGTTCTGGACAATCCTTCCCAGTTGCTATTTATCCTTTTTTATGTATGCTTCCAATTCTCGGAACAATATGTTCTTTGGCCTTTTTCTTTTCCTTCTTCCTTCTGGATTTCAAGTTAGCGCTGGCATCATGATGCAGTCTGATGATTTACGAAATGTATGTCCTATCGACTTCTGTAGTCTTCTAAATTCCTCTTCAATAGGAAGCTGGTTTGTTCTCTACCACAGTAGGTTGTTGCTGATGCTTCGAACACCAAGAATCTTGCGTAGAAAATTGTTTAGAACTTTTAGTCAAACCTATAGGTAAATAAAACTATGAAGGTTAAGAAGATTAGCATTATATAGTGACATCAAAAGGAAAACCACTGAAAATATAAATCCATGAAAAATGACTTCTTTCCAGTCAAAAACATTCAGGTACTGCCACTCATTTGTTTGTAAATTAAACAAGTCAATACACTGATAAGCACTAACAAAAGTATATTCAATGTTAACATTGATAAAACTCGTTATCTACTTTTTCTACATCCACGATTGTTATTATTCCTGACGATCTTCATTTTTAAATGAATTTATAATCAATATACTGTATACAGGTTGAGTGAAGTATTTTAAAATATCCTCTGTTTGATAGTAGATGGTTTGAAAAAGAAAAAAAAAAGTTTGTTTCATTTTTAAATAGTCATTCACATTCCTATTCATAATACTATATTTCGGCACTATTGCTGGAGTATTTTTAAACTATTCATAGAAAACAGAATTAAAATGCCATATTTAAAGAAGAATACCTGTTTTATATTTTATGATGAAATGTAGTATTTTAAAACGAAATTGATTTTTTCGAACAATGTGCAGGTAGCCTGAATATTATAAATTACTCTAGGTAAATGGTTCTACATGTTCCTTACACAAAACTGATATTTTACAAAATATATCTGTCAATGAGTAAGATCATTTGTTTTACTAGTTTATAAAAAACAGTAAAAAGACTGAAATAAAAAATATTAGATTTTTTTTCAATTATCTGAAGCTACTGAGGAGCCTAGAATAACTTGAATATCATATGATATTATAATGTATGATCTTCTACTTACCTTGAACAAATACTATTTGACTAACTTGATTTGATTTCTCTCAGTCATTGATGTAAATTATGATTGGCAAACTATGCTTAAATCCATTTTTATTTAGTAAAAAGATGAATATTTCATTTTAATTAGCTATTCATTGTCGTTAGATATTAATATAAACAAATACAATATTAAAATAATTTTACATAATTTGCCAACCGCTGATCCCTTTATTCCTACCTAACTATCATTAAATTGACATTTCATCAAAATACTTCGTTATTTTTCTTGTCAGATATGCAGCCTCACAAGCGTTGATCTACATATTCTCAATTTTTTTACATAAAATTACTTTAATGATTATGGTTAGCTTATGTTCGTTTCTAATCCTTTAGACAATCATTCGACATTATTTCCTTTATCACTTGTGGAGTTACAGCATTATTATGTAACACTACTGTTTGATTAGTATTAATTTGTTTTATTGTTAGAAATCATATATATGTATATATATATATATATATATATATATATATATATATATATTAATATTAGTATAGAGCCATGGTGAGAAACTAATTGAAAGCATATATATTCATCTTTTTACTAAACGTCTGGATGAGAATTTTCGCTACGCTGAAGCTTGGCTTTATTTACTTCGAACAAAGAAAAAAAATTTAATTCTTATTGATGGCATAATTTAAATCAATATTGTTTTTGGCACACAATACATTTTTAATCATTATTTAAATGCATTAATTGTATTTTTATTTGTTACCTTTATTATTTGCTATTTATTACTTCATATTGATCATAAGCAAACTATTAAAAAAATATGTCCCATCTCATTAAAACAAACAAAAATCTTAATTGTACCAGTAATCGTTGTTTATTTAACAGGGAACCCCTTCGTTAGAAATGTCAGAATGTAAAATTCTTATTCTTGCTAGTAAAAGTATATATTTTGTATCTAATTGCAAAAAGAGTACTCTGTTTTTGAAAAGTAAAATGATTGTTTATCAAAATTTATACTTTTTTTAGTGGGTAGTTTGTAGACTGAATGGATTTAACTTAAAATTTACTAATTATTAAGCGAAGAAGCTTGCAGGGAAATACAGTAAACCAGAGAGACCAGTCAAAGACAAAGAAGGAAGACCAATCACTGAGATTCAACAACGGCGCAACAGATGGGCAGAGTACTTCGAGGAACTCCTGAACAGACCGGCTCCAATGAATCCACCGGACATCGAAGCAGCACACACAGATCTTCCTATAAATGTCAATCCACCAACGACAGAAGAAATCAGAATGGCCGTCAGACAAATCAAGAGCGGGAAAGCAGCAGGACCTGACAATATACCAGCTGAAGCATTGAAGTCAGACATCGAAGTAACTACAAACATGCTTCATCTTCTATTCAAGAAGATTTGGGAAGAGGAACAAGTGCCGATGGACTGGAAGGAAGGACACCTCATCAAGATTCCAAAGAAAGGAGACCTGAGAAAGTGTGAAAATTACAGAGGCATTACACTACTGTCAATACCAGGAAAAGCCTTTAACAGAGTGTTACTGGACAGGATGAAAGACGCAGTAGATGTTCAACTTCGAGATCAACAAGCTGGATTCCGTAAGGACCGGTCGTGCACAGACCGAATTGCGACACTACGGATCATCGTCGAACAATCAATTGAGTGGAACTCATCACT